GCTTACCGCAACATTTGTGAATACAAGACACAAAACCAGTATTAACAGTCGGTTCTGCCACTGTATCACACTAGGCTTCAGAAATTAAATGTGCCTCTAGGAGGTCTTTTACAGCTAGTTTTGCAGCCTTCACTTTCTCGAATGAATGCTTTCTTTTGCATTGTGCGACCGCCTTGAGGGAAGGATCTATAGTCAAGTGATGGCATACAACTTCTGGATCTAACCCGGGCATCTCGGTCACACTCCAGGCAAACAGAACGACATTATCCCTTAGGCAAGCTTTGAGTTGCCTTTTCTCCAGGTCGGGGAGGTGTGCTCCAATCTTCACTCCTCTGGCGGGATCTTCTCCGAGGGGAACTAGCTCAAAGTCACCGTCCGGGATTGGTCGTGCGTGACTCAAGAATTCGTCGCTCAGCAGAAGGGGTCGAACCTTTGCCTTCGATTATAGGCTCATTTCCTTTCTTTCTTTGCTCAACACGATCCTTTTTGGAAAAGAGGTTGTCGAGGTCAATGGTGTCGACCTTCGGCAGCGGCTTGACTTCCTTGGAGCTGGAGGGCAGTGCAGCTCCGGTGGTCGTACAAGGTTGAACACTGATGGAACTGAGGCCCTTAGCTGAAGCTTCAAAACACCTTATTGCTGCTTGGATGTCCCCGTTGAGGGTGGTGACTAAGCCTTCGGCGGTGTAGTACTTCATTTTGAGATGCACGGTAGAGGGAACCGCGATGATTTAAGCGAGAGTGGGTCTCCCGAAGATGCACTGGTAGAGAGACGAGAAATCTACCACCAGGAATTGGGTCTTGATGGCTCTGGCTGTTACCCCCCTTCTGAAGGTAATAATCAGCTCGACATATCCCCAGAGTTTCGCGTTGGCTCCATTGAAACCCTGGAGATCTGATCCCATGTATGGGGTCAGATGGCTCTCATTCAGCTACAAAATGGTGAACAGTTGGGCGTACATGATGTCCATCGAGCTGCCTTGGTCGACCAGTATGCGTCGTACATCGAAATTCGCCATGCAAGCTCTCACGAGTAGTGGGGTGGTTGAATTTGGGGCTCCGCCCGATAATTTCTCTTTGTAGAAGGCGAGGGGATAAGAGCCTCATCAGAATTTGTCGAGCATGGCATCCATATCCGATTTGGCTTTGATGAGCTGGTCGAATCTCCTCTTTACTGACCCAACTGTGTGCCTGTTGAATCCTCCGCCGGAGATGACCATGGTTGCGGGAAAAGATTCCCAAGGACTGTGGAAGGAGAAGTACATGGGGACGTTCTCCATGTCCGGATAATAGAAATCTTTTGATTGTGAGATGCTCATGGCAATCGGAATGGCGTCGAGATCGGGGGACTTCTTCCCTTCCTCGACGTTTTTAGTTTCTGGTGCTTCCTCGCGGGCGCCCTCCTTCTTTTTATACTGCTTGAGGTGCCCATCTCTAATCAGTATTTCAATTGCATCCTTGAGATGAATGCAATCCTCTGTGTTATGCATGTGACTTTTGTGGAACCTGCAATATTTGCTCTTGTTGGTTCCCGGTTTGGACGGTGTTTGTCGGGGGAAGTGCACCCCGGCTTACTTAAATTTAGAATTGGCGCATTCAGAAAGAATACGATCCCTTGAGGTTGTCAGAGGGGTGTAGTCGTGGAAACGATTGGATGGCCCCTTGTAGTCCTTGAAATCCCGGGACTTGTCTTCCCGTTTCCTTTCTCCCCAACGGGATGTTAAGGGCTCGTTGTTCTTCGAGGACTTGGCACTCTCTTTGTGCCTTGATTCCCTGGCGTTGTTGGCCGCTTCCTTCTTCTCGTACTGTATGTGCGCCTGAGCTTTGAGGAGGAGGGAGTCAGGCCTGATCGGCCTCTCAATGCCTACAGTTTTGGCAAAGTCACTGCGGGGACAGAGCCCGCGCTCGAGGAGATATTTCTTCATGTTGTCGGTCGTTGAGACCTGGATTGCTTCCTTATTGAAGCGTTCAATGTGCGCCCGCGGAGACTCGTCTCTTCCCTAGATGATTGCTTCGAGCAAAGCCTTCGATTTCGGGTGTCAATGGGAGGCGGTGAAGTGCCTCGAAAATATCCTTCTGAGCTGTTTCTAGGAGGTGATGGATTCACCAGGGAGGCTTTTGTACCAAGACATCGCCCCCTTCCTGAGAGTAGTTGGGAATAATCTGCATTTGATGGCCCCTCTGACTGCTCGATAGTCGTCAGGTTCTCCGAGGAGGAGATATTGATCGCCTGTTCTCCTAGACCTTTATCCTTTGATTTTGTTGTAGGATAAGGGCGTTGGTCTGATTGATAGCAGCGAGTAATGCTGCCATAGCCAGGTCGGTGTTGAGAGGGATGAGAACTAGTTGTAAGACGTCTGGAAGTTCCTTGGTGGGATTCTTGGGGCGCCCCTTGTCCAAGAATTGGTCGTCGTCGTGCCGAGCATCAGTTGAATCTGGAGCCACATTCTATCTGTCTCAGAAACCCAGGTTGTCCTCGAGGTGAGGACGTTCTTGACTTCCGTCAGTTTTGTGAGCAAAGGAAAGAATAGTCTTTCCGGGCAGATGGAGATCATCATGGTTGGCCATGATTAGTGAGAGGGATCTTAAAAAGTTGCTTTGATCTTTATGTTTTGAGGAAAGAAAGATGGAGAGAGCAGTTTCCCACAGACGGCGCCACTGATCTTACCGGTTCATCAGAACCTGTAGAGTGGCCGGAAGATTATCTACAGTCGGGCTGTGATGTCGAGGAGGAAAAAGGGGTTGTACCTACAAGACACTCTGACGATCAAGTAAGAGTAGGAACAAGGAGATACAAGCAAAGTATTTAGGTGTTGGTGGTGAATAATGAATATTCGATACCTTGCCCTCACAGGTGTAAGGATTTATATAATGCCCCTGGCTCATGGCCATTGCTTCCTGATTTTACGCTTGGATATGTGGGTCCATAAAATCAGGTAATTGCTAGGACTTGGTCAAATCGGGCAGATGTGCCCATAACTAGCCGTTGATTCCGAGGAGGGGCCCAGTTACGGGTATCTCTCTGATCGATTCCTGGTGACCTGCACGACTTTGATATCGGGCAGACTGAGAGATGCTCGTCGATCATCCTAGACCAGTACCGGCTTGGGAGGGCAAATGATCGATATTACTCGACAGATAGCGGACAATTTGGGTCATGGACGTGCAGACCATACCAAAGGAAAAGTCTAGACTGGACCAATTCAAATTGTCGGGTCAGTCCAAAACACACACACACACACACACACACACGCACGCACGCACGCACGCACGCACGCACACACACACACACAAAAGAGATTTCTTAAAAGCACCTAAATTTTGTATGGAACATTTTTTAATACAAAATGGTTCATCATTTTACTTTAGACTATGTACAATAGTTTACATATTCAACACCATTCTTTTTCATTTTTTATATTCCACGTCATCTTCTATTTCTTCTACTTAATAATTCAACATTTATTCAACTTTTACTCACTACAATAGTTTTGTTTAATAAAATTTAACACTCTACCCCACCATTTTTATTTTATATTTTTATTTTCTTTTATATTATTTTTTTATGATTTTATATTAATATCAATTATCGATTGAAATAAAATTAAAATAATTAAGAGTTAAATGATTTTTTTAATTTGTTTTTAATTTAATAATTTATTTAAGTTTTTTTAATTTTATATTTTTAATTTATTTAAATTTCTTTCTAATTTTATAGAGATAGTTATTATCAAAACAAATAAAAATGGATAAAACAAGAGTTTATTGAAGGTTAAATAGAAGAAATAGAGAAAAAAAGTGGATATTTTTGTTTGTCCAAATCAAATTATCCAAATATTTATTTATAGACAAAAAAATGATGAATTTTGATGAAAATAAAATAAATAAAAAATTATTTATTATAAAATGATTGATTCTAAATAATTAAAGTGAATTAAAAATATAAATAATCACAACAATTAATAAGATTTTGTAAAGTATTATATCTGGTCTCACTTCTTCCTCATTTAACATGTTAAATGTTTTCAACACCAATTAATTCACCTCGTTTCAACCTTTTATTCAACACTCGGTTGCATCTATTCAACTATTGAATAATTTTTTCGACATCCCTATACATAGTTTAGAAATTTACCATTATTATTACAATTTTACTAAATTTATATATATGTATATAAGAAATTTCTTAAAAGCACGTAAATTTTATATGGATATTTTTTATTACAAAATGATTTTTCTTTTTTTATGTATTTTAAAATAAAATATTCATTCATTTATATTCATATATTATATTGAAAATAACTCAAATTCTAAAACTGAAAAGGACAGATATGCAAACAAGTTACACCACACCAAAATATGACAACAGTTAGATTGATTAATGAAATAAAGATCCTTAATATTTATTTTCTTTCCAATTTTAAGTGTAAATTAAATAAACAAATACTTAAAGTAAATTTAGTTAAGTTTGGTTAATACTATAAAACACTAGAAAAATAGATAGACTAGATGCAAAGAATATAGAAAAGAAAAATATATTTTGTGAAAAGAAAAATCTTTCACTATGACCGAACATGTATGAAAACTCACAAATAAATAGAGCGAAAAAAAAGAAAAAGAAACTCACAAATAAATTATCTAACAATAAAATAGTCAGATAAATATTAAAAATTGATATTTCGTTTTTACATTATGCAGTCAACTCTCCAGATGGAGCAATTTGCTTTAAAACATATATTGGTTGGTAAGAAGGATTATCTATCCATTTCAATATTTTGGACACTAATAATAATCACAAAAAAAAAAAAAGTTGAATATATCATTAAAAAAAATCATAAATAGTGAGAGAAAGTTGGAGGTTGAATATTCAGATATCGAAACTATTAAACCACATTAAATAGAGCGCTCCGCAAACACTTTCTAACTCCCTCACTCATTTCTCACCTAACATCTCGTTCTCCGCATCTTCATCCTCATCTCTTCTTCCGATCACGATCACCACCATGGGATCCCAGAAAATCAAAGTTGCCAATCCCATCGTCGAGATGGACGGTTCGTTTCTTCACCTTTCGACCCGATCTATTGCTCCGATCTTATTCCTTTTTCCTCGATTTCATCGCTCTATTCTCTTATTTTTATTTTATATTCGTATTTTTTATCCTGTCACTGTCTTATCATGTCGATTTGCTCCCTTTACTGTACTTTGATATTCTGTTAATTTTCTGTGGACCATTCTCTGTCCGTTATTTTCATCTAATTATGATCTGATATGTTACTTTGCTTTTTGCGTCTCTTTGCTTTTGATCTTTAGAGTCTAGATTTACTTTCTGATGCTACTGATTTGTTTTTTTGAGTCGAGATATGTGTAATTTATTTAAATTGTAGTAAGAAATTAAAAAAGGAATCAGATCGGTATAATTTGTCAAACAAAAAAGGTGTATGTAAGTGTGATTAGTACTAATCTTATGGAATGCCGGGTAATTATCCTAATTTTAAATTTAAATACTCATTTTATTGATGGTTAAAAAGAGAATTACAATATTCATTTCCTTGGTGATTCTGTTTATGCTTTTGGCTTTGGGTGATGATTGTCTTTGTTTTGGGAACTGTATTACAGGAGATGAAATGACTCGAGTTATCTGGAAGTCAATCAAGGATAAGGTGATTAATCATCTTCTGGCACTTATTGTGATCACCGTGGATTCATTTTTTATGGCACTTATTGTGATCACCGTGGATTCATTTTTTTATGAGTGAAAATTGTTATAATTATGATGTTTTCTTTCATTCTTTGTGGAATAGCTCATTTTGCCTTTCTTGGAGTTGGACATCAAGTACTTTGACTTAGGCCTTCCTTATCGTGATCAGACTGATGATAAAGTTACAGTTGAAAGTGCTGAAGCAACTCTCAAGTATGTTTCTGTATAATATATGCTGATTGTTTGCTTTAGGCTTTTTAATTTTTATAGTGCGCTGATTTTTTTTATTTTTACATTTGTTTCCAATATATGATATATTGTTGAGTTAAAACAGTTTTACATGTTGATCCTGCGTAACTCTTATCATTGTTTTCTAATGGTTGCGCATGTGCTGCTATCTAGGTATAATGTTGCAATCAAGTGTGCAACTATCACTCCAGGTAACGTAGCCAAAGCCTAACATATAACGTTTCATGGTTAGAAGAGGGGACATCCCATGTTGCTTGTGCATGAATCGGGCTGATCAAGTTGCTGCATGTTAATGTTCTGCTCAGTATTATATATTTGCAGAGCTTACACTAGTGTTATAATTGACAGATGAAGCCCGTGTCGAGGAGTTCGGCCTGAAGAGCATGTGGAGGAGTCCAAATGGGACAATCAGGAATATTTTGAATGGTAATCTAACATAATTTTGTTTTTTTTATTTGTAAGATATTAAATAATAAACACTAGTTGGTTTATATGTTCTGGTCCGTCATTGACAGCTAATGAGTTGTAGATGAGTAGATATATATTGGTTTCTTATCTGCGCTCTCAAAAATTTCAGGAACTGTCTTCAGAGAACCAATTATTTGCAAAAATGTCCCTCGCCTTATTCCTGGTATGTATTAAATTTTTCTTTTTGGATTGCTCCTTTTCCTTAATGAATGGAAGTGTGTGAATATCAACATTGCCAGGTTGGACAAAGCCAATATGTATTGGAAGGCATGCTTTTGGTGATCAATATCGGGCCACTGATGCAGTTATTAAGGGACCTGGAAAGCTGAAGCTGGTGTTTGGTATGCTTTTCATTTTGGATGGTTTCACAAGACCAAGGATTGTCAAGTTAAAAACATGCTGGCACTTCTTCTAGAGCTAGTTTTTCAGAATTAGTATATGTTGCCCTCTGATGATTGTTTTTATGAATTCTTCTATTATAGTTCCGGAAGGCCAAGGTGAGACCACTGATTTGGAAGTTTATAACTTCACCGGTGAAGGAGGTGTTGCATTGGCTATGTACAACACTGATGAGGTTGGATCTTCATTGTCTTTTATCAGTTTTTGTTTGATATATAATATTTCAATGAAATCTGGTACTGAACTATCTATTGTTTGGTACGTAATGTAGTCTATTCGTTCTTTTGCTGAGGCCTCTATGGCAACTGCTCTTGAGAAAAAATGGCCACTTTATCTTAGCACCAAAAATACAATTCTGAAGAAATATGATGGAAGGTATGCTATTTATTTTTTATTTCTTATCTATTTTTTTTATTTTCGTAAACCATTGCTATATTGATCCCTGTTTAATCATGTCCATTTATTGGTTATAGATTCAAGGACATATTTCAAGAAGTTTATGAGGCAAGCTGGAAATCCAAGTATGAGGCTGCTGGTATATGGTGAGTGAATGTGCACCTTTTTTTTTTGGAGAAAAAAATTCTTCATATGATATTTATCGTTTATACTTCTATATAATGGATTTGGAAGGTATGAGCATCGACTCATTGATGATATGGTGGCATATGCACTCAAGAGTGAAGGAGGTTATGTATGGGCATGCAAGAACTATGATGGAGATGTCCAGAGTGATTTCTTAGCTCAAGGTTTGTTTTGACGTGCTTGTTTATCAGTCACATTCTTTTTGCAATTTCATATGCATTGATTTATTCTCTCTTTACCTAATATCTGTTCACATTTGTTCAGGTTTTGGATCATTGGGTTTGATGACATCTGTATTGGTAAGTGTCATTTCAAATCCTTACTTATAGTACTTTATATGGGACTTTTATTTTGATCCTCATTTATTGAAAACTCTCTCTCCCTCTCTGTAGAGGTTCTTTAAGAATAAAATAATTAGTTATTTTATTTATTCATTAAAATAACGCCAGATTGTAAAATGTAATTTATGCTTAATTCGCCTAAGTGCATACTTAATGTTCTTGGTGTTAGCTTGCTGATTGGTACTGTTGAATTATGGTGTGATTTCAGGTTTGCCCTGATGGAAAGACTATTGAAGCAGAAGCAGCCCATGGCACAGTTACCCGTCATTTCAGGGTTCATCAAAAGGGCGGAGAAACCAGCACAAACAGCATAGCATCCATCTTTGCTTGGACAAGAGGTCTCGCCCATAGGTAATTACTGCATGCATAGTTGAGCGCAATTGTTTACCCATTGCATCAGAAACTCGGGGGATTCAAAATGTGTATATATTGACAGGGCAAAGCTAGATGACAATGCTAAACTCTTGGAGTTCACTGAAAAGCTAGAGGCAGCTTGTATTGGAGTAGTGGAGTCTGGGAAGATGACTAAGGATTTGGCACTTATTCTTCATGGATCCAAGTATATAACTTATCACAGTCGTTGTTTACCATTGACCAAATCTTTTTTTTTTATACTAGACATGATTAATCAACTCTTCACTATATAACTTTTGCAGGCTTAAAAGGGAGCATTATTTGAACACAGAGGAATTCATCGATGCTGTGGCAGCCGAGCTTAAATCTAAGATCTCTGCATAGATTTGTGATTTTAGGTAAGCAGTTACTTGGGTTCCCTTCATTCATATTTGAGCACACGCAGAAATAAATGTTGCGACACAAATGGCTATGGAAATATCCATTGTACTTTATTTCCCACTTATCCAAATGGCTTTTTTTTGTTTCTTTGTTTGGTAATAATTGATATTATCAGATATTGGAAAAGCGACGAGATTGAAGAGGATCGGATGCACTTTCAAAAGAAATAAGAAAGAGGATAGAAGCATTGGTCTTGGCTATTTTTTCTTCCTTCATTTGTGTTTTGGATGGGAACGCATGGGCTGTGTGCTTCCTTTAGTTTGAATTGTGTAACTTTGAATTAGAAATTTAAATGGATTTTGTTTTGCTATCTTTCTGCTGATTTTGCTTTGCATGTTTTATTTCTACAAATATTACACCTTTAAAAAGAAAGGAAATATTTCTTTCAACTACTGCAAACTAAGTAACATTGAATCTGGATCAAAGGTGCTGTACTCACCTAAACTTCAACTGGCGTAAGCTGAATTTGTTTGACTATCTTGTTTGCCATAGGCAATAATCAAGGTCCAAAACAGAGTGGACCCTTACACCTACTTAACAAATCGACACATTTTCACAATTGCTTTTTCCCACTTATGATTTTCTCATTAAAGCCACTTTTGTCCATTTACTCGGTTATATCACTTTTATTATATAACATTGATTATGTCCCTTTCTCTATACCCTGATGGTGACTTTGGTACTATCTCTTCCCAAATTCGTTACTTTGTTCATGTCCCACACGCATGAATGTGTTCGTGGAATTGTGGACAACTATTACAGTTTGTTATGTTTTGTTTGGTAATACTCCCTCCACTCTCAAAATGAAATATATCACTTTTAATAAATAAATTCATGTTATTTTCACTTTTTAATATAATAATCATTTTCTCAATTATATCTTCTAATTTTTGAGGATATGTTTCAATTGAACGTTTGATATTAGTACTTTTTTATAGTAAGTTTTTTTATTAAAACTAAGCCAGGTTAGTTGGTTCTGAAATTTATCATATCTATATCTTTCTTGTTAAAATTTTAATTAAATCTAGATCGGTTAGAAACCAGTAGAGTAAGATTGATAAAATAATTTACATTGATATATAAAATAAAACAAAAGATTTTTCAGATAGAAAAAAACCACCTACGGCTATGGCGTAGCAGAAACACTACCATCTCCGCCATTTTCTAAACTCTCAAAAACAAAACCCATCGGAAACATTCCCCAAGAAACATAATAAGCTTCTTGTCCGGGCACAATCGGCGGAAGAGCCGAAATTGAAACACCATGAAAAGATTTGTTACAATTCTGACACATCAAGCAACAACTCTCATAAACCCTAGAATACTCATACAAATGGTAACAATAAGGACAAACAGTCCAAAAACTAACCCTTCCATTTTCCAAACTCTTATCCCCAAATTCAAAACCCTTATCATACTCAGCCTTTCGAGCCGAGTCAGACAAAACGGCCCAAGCATCAGACACAAGCCTGAAGGCGAGTTTAGCAAATGAAAAACGGTTCTTGTCAGGGTGAAGAAGAAGAGCAAGAGTACGATACTGTTTCTTTATGAGATTCAGATCTGGCGAGTAATTTCGATCGATTTGGAGAATAGCATACCAGTCGAGGTTGTTGCTGTTGTTGTTGTTGAGATTTAGAGGCTTTTCAGCTGCTTCGAGAACATCGACTATTGCTATGATCTGGTCGGAACCTTCTAGAAGAGGGTCGGTTTCTTGAGCTAGAACCGCTATTTCTCTTGAACCTTTTAGATCTCGTTTTTGTAAAAGCTCTTCTCCAATTTCCAGTAACTGTTCTGCTTCAGATTTGCCCGTGTTCATCTTTTCTGTGTAAGAAGCTTGCTTGGTTTGTTGGAGGATTCACGGAGAGATTAAATCTTGTTACGGAGAAAAGTTGAGTGCAGTTTCATTTGACATTTGTTACTGCTTCTACTGTTTTTCAGTAGCACCTGTCCAATTTATTTCATACCATGTTTCAACTTATTGACACCGCGACTTCACCACGCTCAAGTCTAATATTTCCATTCGTACTCCTTTCCTTTTATCCATCTTTTTGTTTTTTTTTTGTTTTTCTGTTAAAGCTAAAATAAAAGCCCTGCCTACCCACCCATATCGGAATGGAACGTTTTTGGTAATGGCACGGAGCAGTATCAATTAAGATTGAAACTTAAAACTGTTGCAGCATTCTTTTGTAGAATGATTTAAAATACAACGAATTTATTATCTTTTGTTAATTTACAAAATAAATTAAGTTAAAAACTATATGAAAAAATAATTAATCTTATGTTTTCTCATTTTAATTTGACTAATATTTGTTCTTGTTTAAAAAGTACATTGAGATCTAACTATATTTTCGTAGAGTCGTTTCTAACACTTTGTTTGGGTGAGAAGAGAAAATAGAAGGAGAGAAAGTAAGAGGAAAGAATATTGAAGAAATGAAAGTGAATAGAAAGTGAAAGGAAAATGAGATGATTTTTAAATTGTTTGATAGAAGAGAAACTCAAAGGAAGGAAAGGAAAGTATGTTGAGAAAAGACAAAAACAACATTTAAACAAAACAAATAAATGTCAAAAATATTATTTCTTATATATATATATTTCAAATATTTTAAATAATAAATACAAATCAAATTATCAAAACATTGACTACATATTTAATATTACAAATTATCAAAAATAAATAATAATGTATATAATAAAATAAATGGGACATGTTTTAAGTGGGTACTAGTGCCCCCATTATCCGATCTATCTCCTATTTTGTAATTGGAAAAAAATCTAAATCTAAACCTTGTTAAAACAAGTTTTTCCCATCAACTTTGGAGCGAGTTTAGGTGAGTATTTGCGGGTACAGATTTTGTTGTCATGTTTAATTGGGAGAGTTTTATGTATGATTTTTTCCATAGAGTTTGGAGACTTATTTCTCAGTTTAAGGATGAGGTATATATAGAAAACTCTCTTGGGTTTGGATCAAAAATCAAGAGAAGTAATTTTCTATTATGTGTCAACCTGAAAACATCCATATGTCGACTTGAAATGGACATAAACATTTGGTTTTAAAAACATACAATATGTATTGACATATAGCTCGGATGTGTGGACTTTTAGAAGTATTTTTACTTCTATGTGTCGATCTATAACACGTATGTGTCGACACATGTTGAGCAGAGTTAAATTTTTTCAAAAACATTTTAGTATGTGTCATCGATACATACGATCCATTTGCTGATCTGAAACTAAAAGAAACTTCCTTTTTGAAAAGTTAATGGTTTGTGTCGACTCATACGATATATGTGTCGACCTATGGACTTGGTTTTCATAAAAAACTCATTTTTAACATGTAAAACCTTTTCAAAACTTATTTTTAAGTTTTCTAACACTAGGATGCATATCTAGACACAAATGATATCGTTTAATATATATAAATACTAAAAAATTTAGTTTTGACATCATTTAAAACATATTTAATAGGAAAGTGCACTTTCAAGAAAAACCTCCTTTTTTTACTTGAATTTCTCACAAGCAGTCACAACTACCACAATCTTACAGGCTTCTTGAAAATGTTTACACGTCTTTCAAAAAAGTGTTAGTTCCAAGACAAGTATTCCTCAACAACTATAAATATTCTCAATCAATATTTAAATCCAAAACATGAGGTTGAAGATGAAAGAATTTTGTTTGCAAGTGGTTTGATTTTTCAAAAATGAAAGTTGTTGCTACGTAATTACGAAAGATATGAGATGACAAAAGATTTATATATGCTGGAGATTGAACACAAAAATAGATGAAAAATGGTTGTTAGATTAGAGTAAAAAATATTTGTTGATTTAAGTCAAGTGAATAAATTGAGTGGAACAAGATCAACATAAAAGAAATTATACATTTTCCCGTGATTTAACCATAAATGTGATTCAAGTCATGAAGGTTTATGAAACAAGCCATGTAAAAAATGTGATTCGAATCAAATTAAACAACCTGTTTACTGTGGAATTTAATAAACAATTGATAGTCTTTCAAAATCTAATGACTCTGGTTACTCACAGTATCGATTAGATTTATCCTAGGACGATAGTGTATACTTTGTGTTGTTTTTATAGGTTTTTCTAAATATTGATCTATTCGACAATAAAAGTTGTTATGGACTGGGCCCAACAGGCCCAAAAGCATTGCTAAGGCCCAGTCCAAATGGACTTACTGAGGACCACGCCGAGGTGAGGGTCACAGCCGTGCCCGACATACTGCGGTCCAGCTCCACATCCTGATGTCCAGCCCGACATACTGCGGTCCAGCTCCACATCCTGATGTCCAGCCCGACATACTGCGGCCCAGCTCCATGTCCTGCTGTCCAGCTCGACATCCTGCTGTCCAGCTCGACATTGCCTCGAGCATCCCAACTAGGGCAGACTCAGTCCACTGTTCCCCCAACGATACTCCGGAAAGACCGCGTCTCCGTCCGCCCGCACTTCACGCAGAACATCCAGGAAGGGGACCACGTGCGGGTCCCCACTACCCGCGTAGAACCTGGCAGTTCCTCCATTGGGCCAAACCTGCCCGGCCCAATGAAGGAACCTTGGCCCAGCGCTGGGGGCTATAAATACCCTCTGCTTCCAGAGGGTCAGGTATTCATCATTCTAACCTCAACTTACTATTATCTGCTCGTACTCCTACTTACTTCAGCATCGGAGTGCCTTGCAGGTACCCCCCCCACCTCGTTCAAAAAAGCTTTCTGCTCGGAGCCAGCCGTGACGGTCCATTTCTGATCAGGTCAGATCAGTGGCGCCGTCTGTGGGAACCAGCTTCCCCGTCTAACGAACAATTCTAAAGACCAAAGCTCAATTCAATTACCTATCATGGCTGATCCAGCTCGCGACGAGCAGCCCGTCCGTGTCGCCGACACTAACAACGGTCCCGCGGACAAGAATGGACACCTCGACAATCCCGGTGATCCCGGCCACAGTGCCATCCCTGTGACAACCGCCCCTGGACCTTCCTCCTACAGGGACGGGGCTACTGCATCATCCTCTACGACTCCTCCAGCACTCGAAGACGACCCGGTAGCTCTCGCTCATCGCAGAGCTGCCCGGTTCTATGAAGTCCCAGTTCCTGCCGGGGCAGATGCCACGACTCAGGCACTGTTCGCGGCCATTAATCAGACAAATCACCTCATCTTCGCCCAAGGAGAAAGATTAAGGGCACTTGAAGATGATCGACGACCCCCGAGGAGGCATCGGAGGCCACATTCTCCTCCTCCTCGGATCACGGAAGCTCGACACCCTTCTCCCCCGCAAAGACACTATAGGGAGAACTCCAGAAGCCCTTCCCCCCGGCCAAAGCAGAGGCGGCCCTACCATGAGAGACAGCCCGTCATCCCTGCCGAAGAACCCAGTCGCGACCCATCAAGGCACGACAAGAGGCACGCCGGAGACGGGCGTGTGACCTTCAACCACCGAGCATCGCGCTCGAGGGAATCTCAGCACAATCATTGTGCCAGACATAACTACAGGACCCCTTCTCTTTCTCCGGAGAGGAGCGACGAGGACGACCCCCGCGGTCCCCTGTCGCAGGCTATCATGGATGCACCTATCCCCCCGGGCATGGAGAAGCCCCCGCATCTGAAGGAGTATGACGGAGTAGCGGACCCGGTCGACCACATTGACGGGTTCGAAGCCATGCTCCACTATCATAATGTCGGGGGGCCCATCAAGTGCCGTCTTTTCCCCACGACTCTCAGGAAGGCGGCCATGGACTGGTATAAAGGGCTCGCCCCGGGCTCAATTACGTCGTGGCGGAACCTGAAGAACCAGTTCATCAGTTCCTTCACAGCTTCTCGGCGCCATCCAAAGACCGAGGCGGCCCTCGAGGCCATCATCCAAAGACAGGATGAAACCTTGAGGGAATTCATCAACCGCTTCAACCGGGAAGCAATACAGGTCCCCTGCACGGACCATATGAAAAGATATTTGCTGGAGAGGGGCCTCCTCCCCGACACAGAATTCAGAAAAGCTGTGGGTATTGAGCCACCTCCAACTTTTGATGCCCTCCTCGACAAGGCCCGAGCATACATGGACTACGAGGAGAGAGAAGCTGCCAACAGGGCCCGAGACTCCAGGGCTCGCGCTCCCAACAACAGCAGCAGCTCACGACAAGACCCTCCTCCCCGACGTACCGGGGAGAAAAGGAAGGAAGATCGACCCCGGGAGGTCCGGGAACAAAGGGGCCCCTCGGGCCGTTTCACCGAGTACACTCCGCTCACGGCTTCCCGCGAGCGTATTTTGGCGGAGTGTGCTAGTACAGATTTCAGAGACGGTGGCGTCAAGCGTCCCCGACTTGCTCCCGCCAAGCCAGGGGCAGACAAAAATAAATACTGTCAATACCATAGGAGTCATGGTCATTTGACAGAGGACTGCGTCCACCTCAAGGACGCCATTGAAACCCTCATCAAGGGAGGGAGGCTCGCACAGTACATGCGAAACGACGCTCCCCGTCGTGACGCCCATGAAGCCAAGGAGCCCGAAGAAGATACCCGACCATCAGACGAGTTGGTACCAATCCAGACCGCCTTCTCGGTAACCAGGCCCGAGGATTTCGACGTTCCCGAGCTCCTGCAGGAGCCCCTGACAACACACAGCAGGTGGGAATACTTCCCCTCCGCCATGGTCATCAACGGGGGCGGGTTCAACGACCTCACCATCAATTCAGCCAAGAGGAAGTTGGACGAACTGGTCGACATAGCTCCTCCACAAACTGTGACGTTCGAAAGGGTGAAGGGCAGGTCAGAGCCCATCACCTTCTACCTGGAAGAACTCCCCGGCGGAGCCCCGA